GCCCCTTTGCTCACGGGCCAGGGGAGTCTGGCCCCTCCCCTTGCTCACTGCTCATGCCCATGTACGGTTTAACTCCGCCCCCTACTTGGTGCGCATGCGCATTTTGCCACGCCCCCTTTCACAGTCTATAAATACCGTGGCGCGGAAGTCCTCGGCCTCTTTCTCGCTGAGGTCTCGACGCTGTTGTAGGTAGGTCTGCCCCTCTTTTACCCATTTTTAATCCTCATTCGCTATGCTATGGGGCCCTCTTGGCCATGAAGCCTCCTACAGGGACACCACATGTCCTTTTAGCGCTAAAACAGGCCGTGAGTTACACGTGGCGGAGGGTGCGCCTCAGCAGTCCCTCACGGCCTGCTCCTCTTTCCACAGGTTACACTGTCGCCTGCCCAGCCCGGCCTGCCCAGCTCACTCCAGCGTGAGTATCGCGTGGCAACGTCTGTGCTCTGCGGAGCGCAGGGGTGTGCAGGGGTTATAAATATAAAACCACAAACCCAACGTGGATATCCGGAGAAGTCGCTCTCTCTCGGCTCTGTCCGTGTGGCGCACGGGAGCGCAGGCCCTCGGGCCCGTGACGTACAGTCCCCTTCCACGACGTTGGAGAACAAGCCGGGCCGCCGAGCCTGCAGCCTGCATATTCCTACTGCTTCTCTGAGCCCCCGGGCCGTTACAGAGGAGACAAACCATGCAGGAAACAATTCGCACACGCGGGATGGGGCGGGAGATGCGTGCGGGGCTGGAGGGGGGAGAGAGGGAAAAATGTATCTCCCGAGCAATTCCTTAAAAAACTTTTTTTCCCCGTTTCCAGTTGTAAAGCTCAAGGAACGATTGAGAGTAACGCGACTTTGAAAGGTAAGTGCATAAATACGTGTTCTGTTCTCTTTAAAATTTAAAGTTTAATTACACTGTTCACTTGAAAATTTAAACATACTTCTAATCGGCTTTAACCGTTTTTAAGCCTCTTATGGGACAGTTGGATCGGCTTAAAGTGATTAAACTCCAATCCAGACTATGTAGGTGTTGCTTAACACAAAGTTTGGCTCAGCCGTTCCTAACTTTAAAGATTTTTGTTGGGTTTTGGTTTCATGGGTGGGTAAAAAAAAGGTGGTTCCTGGCTCTTTAAGAGAAAGAAAGCTCCGTTCATAAATCTCTGCAGAGAAGAAAAAAAAAATCTGCTGAAGTGGGGATTAATAATGCATTTGCAACCTTACTTGTGCTATATGAAAAATGGGAAAAAAAAAGAAATCTAATCTTATTTTCCTAAATATTGCAGATACTGTATGAGATGACAGAAAAAAATACGTTTTTAGTGGGAAAAGGTGAGTATATTGGGAGAATCGGCCCAAATAGTTAAAAGGGGTGGTAGCCGAAGGCCAGTTCTTGCACTAATTGGCTGGGAAGCAAGGGATACTTAAATTTGGTGGCTTTCCAGAGCATGTGCTTGTGCTGGGAAATGGCCACGTGTGTGACTTGGTCGCTTGGTGGAATGTGCAGCTCCCGGATTTTGGGGAGCAGTGGAGCAGGGCCTGGGGCTGGGCACGTGTGTGTGAGGTGGAAAAATCAGTGGGCTGTGGTGGGCAAGTGAAAAGCAAAGGGCTGGATGGCCAGGCTGTGAAAGCTGCTGCTTTTGGAGCCCTCTGAAACTGGGAGGGGGGAGAGAGGGGTGTAAGGAAGAAGCCACGTGCTCTCCTGTGGATCCGGACTTGCCAACCACCCTCCCATCCAGAGGGAGTGCCAGCTGCCAGGGAAGCCACACTCTGACCTCGTGGGCCAAGGGCATTCCAGGGAAGCTGATCCTGGAGGGGGGGGTGGCTCACAGGATGTGGGTGGGAGCAGCAGTTTGTGTGTGTGTGTAAACCCTGAAATCAGCCCTGCCTGGTGCTGCTTCTAAATCTGTACTTGGCTGCTGTAGAGAATATAATAAACTTGATTTGCTTTGGCTTGGTGTGTGTTTCTTGGTAAGTGAGCTACTGGTTAATCCATCAATATTAAGGAGATATTGAGGCTCCTGTTGGGTGTTTCTCAGTTGTGTGGAAGCAGAATTCTGGTGTGGTGGTGTCCCTCTCCAAAGGGTGTAAAAACCCTCTGTTAGATCTGAATTAGAGCAGGTAATACTTAAAGTTCAGTTTGGGATCATATCAAGGCAAAAAAAGTCTTTTATTAAGGGCTGAACCCAGATAGTTAATGGAGTTTGTACTCTGGGGGTGTGGCTTTTGTGGGGGAAGGAGGGAGGGGGATCACGAGTTCTGCACCCTGTTCTAGGGGGAGTGGTTTTGGGGAGGTTCTGCAGGGATTGGTTTAAAATCCCCTCCAGCAGTTGCCTGGCTGTCCTGTCCCCAGCCATGAAATCCACGGGCAAAGGGTCAGGGGGTGGTTGTGCCCGAGGAGATCCAGCATGAGCCTGGGATAACAAATATTCCAGGGTTATACCCCTCCCAGAAGGGTTTTCTGATGGCCTGGATGCTGTGCAGGGCACCTCGGGGTCTGTGTAAATGAGCCGGTGAATCAGCTGAGGGTGCAATTGGGAGCTTGATTTCATTAAAAAAGTGCCTTTGAATGCCAAACTGCAGGCCCTTGGTGTGGAACATCCCCAGGGCTGGATTTGCATGTTAACTGGAGCAGAATTAATCAGTGGAATGGAGATTCATCCCATTAGATAAGGGGGGGAAACTTGAACGTTTGCTGTCCTCTCATCACCCCAAGACACTCAGTCTGGTTCCTGCTTCAAGAATGAAAGTGGATTTTCCACATTAAGCAGTGGGATGCTGGAAAATGTGGGAGCAGCTCTTGTCGCCTCAGCCTGGGCTGGAGGCACCGCTGAGGTTCAGAGGCAGGAAGAGTGAGTTACACTAACAGGGGGGCAACAGATTGTCTGAGGGTGGCAGCTGTCAGCCCTGCTTGTCCTACCTGGCCTATCCTACCTCTCCTGCCCTGTGTCCTCCTGTCCTACCTGCCTTGCCCCATCTGACCTGCCTGTGTCCTTCTGTCCCGCTTGTCCTTCTGTCCTTTCCTGCCCTACCTGTCCCTCTGCCCTTTCTGTCCTACTTGTTCTGTGCCACCTTTCCTTCTGTCCCACCTGTACTTCTGCCCTACTTGTCTTCTGTTTCTGCCCTGTCCCTCTTGTCCTGCCCGTCCTGCCCCGTCTTTCTGTACTACCTGTCCTGTCCTACTGCCAAACCTGTCCTTTTGTCCTACTTA